CCCTTCCCATTTATTTCCCACGTTTCTTCTAAATCTTTTTGAATTTTTTTCCATCAGGTTTGGATACCTAAACATATTTGTATCAATTCTCCACCTGTTTACCTCCTTATAATCACATTTAAGAATCAACTCCATATTCGCTCTGGCATGATCTGAAATTTGTATGACTTCAATAACTGTATCATTTACCCTAGGCAACAAATCTTTAGATACAAATATATAATCTATTCTTGAATATGTATTATGCACCAGTGAGTGAAAAGAGAATCTTCTTTTGTCACCTTTTAACTCTCTCCATACGTCTTTCAAATCTGTTTTATTTATTAATCTGTTTAATATTGTAGTTTTGATTTTCCCTTCCCCACTTCATAACTTTGATTTGTCTTTCTTCAGATCCATTACCGTATTGAAATCTCCTGCTAATATTAGTGACTCTTTCCTCAATTTATCCAGCCTTCTCAATATATTTTCTAAGAATTCTTCTTGTCTCTCATTAGGTGCATGCACATTTACAAGTGTAATCTCTTCCCCTCTCATTTTATCTTGTATTATCAAATATCTGCCTTGAGTATCTTTTTCAGTTTTCTCAACCTGAAATTCACACTTTTTTGATATTAATAACATCAGGGTCTTTTCCAGGGAGTCTTCTCTTCTCGTGAGATGGCCAAAGTATTGGAGCCTCAGCTTCAGGATCTGTCCTTCCAGTGAGCACTCAGGGTTGATTTCCTTCAGAATGGATAGGTTTGTTCTCCTTGCAGTCCAGGGGATTCTCAAGAGTCTCCTCCAGCACCACAATTCAAAGGCATCAATTCTTCAGCGGTCTGCTTTCTTTATGGTCCAGCTCTCACTTCCATACATTGCTACTGGAAAAACCATAGCTTTCACTATTCAGACTTTTGTCAGCAAGGTGATGTCTCTGCTTTTAAAGATGCTGTCGACGTTTGTCATTGCTTTCCTCCCAAGAAGCAGGCGTCTTTTAATTCTGTGGCTGCTGTCTCCATTTGCAGTGATCATGGAGCCCAAGAAAGTCAAATCTGTCACTGCCTCCATATCTTCCCCTTCTATTTGCCATCAGGCAATGGGTCCAGTGGCCATGATTTTAGTTTTTTTTTATGTTGACCTGCAGACCATTTTTGCCGCTCTCCTCTTTCACCTTCATTAAGAGGTTCTTTAATCCCTCCTCTCTTTCTGCCATCAGAGTGGTATCATCTGCATATCAGAGGTTGTTGATATTTCTTCTGGCAATCTTAATTCCGGCTTGGGATTCATCCAGTCCAGCCTTTCGCATGATGTATTCTGCATATAAGTTAAATAAGCAAGGAGACAATATACAGCCTTGTTGTACTCCCTTCCCAATTTTGAACCAATCCGTTGTTCCATATCCAGTTCTACAGTAACTGTTGCTTCCTGTCCCACATAATTTCTCAGGAGATAGATAAGGTGGTCAGACACTCCCATTTCAGAACTTGCCATAGTTTTCTTTGGTCCACACGGTCAAAGGCTTTTGCATAGTCAATGAAGCAGAAGTAGATGTTTTTTCTGGAACTCTCTGGCTTTGGGATTTGGTTTAGTTTATACCTGACTAGCCCAGTGGTTTTTCCTACTTTCTTCAGTTTAAGCTTCAATTTTGCTATAAGAAGCTGATGATCAGAGCCACAATCAGCTCCAGGTCTTCTTTTTGCTGACTGTACAGAGCTTGTCCATCTTTTGCTGCAGAGAATATAATCAATCTGATTTCAGTATTGCCTATCTGCTGGTGTCCATGTGTAGAGTCGCCTTTTGTTTTGTTGGAAAAGATTAGCCTTTGCCCTGCTTCACTCCATGGCCAAACGTCCCTGTTGTTCCTTTTATCTCTTGACTCCTTACTTCAGCATACCAGTCCCCTATTATGAAAAGAACATCTTTCTTTGGTGTCAAGTCTAGAAGGTGTTGTAAGTCTTCATAGAATTGGTCAATTTCAGCCTCTTCAGCATTTGTTGTTGGTGCGTAGACTTGAATTACTGTGATGTTGAAAGATCTGCCTTGGATTCGTATTGAAATCATTCTATCATTTTTGAGATTGTATCCCAGTACAGCTTTTCCCACTCTTTTGTTGACTATGAGGGCTACTCCATTTCTTCTATGGGATTCTTGCCCACAATAGTAGATATGATAATCATCTGAATTTAATTCACCCATTCTTGTCCATTTCAGTTCACTGATGCCCAGGATGTCAATGTTTATTCTTGCCATCTCCTGTTTGACCACATCCAGCTTACCGAGATTCAAAGCTCTGAAATTCTAGGTTCCTATGCAGTATTTTTCTTTGCAGCATCGGACTTTCCTTTCACTTCCTTTCACTTAACTGTAATAGAGTGAATACAAATACTCCATGTCTATTAAACAGTATATAATCAGTTTTTATTGCAGTGACATAACCTCCAAACAGGATACACAAAAGACTGAGTGTGTTGCAAGAAGAAAGTCTATATTTGCTTGAACCAAGGAAATGCTTGAGATGTTTAGATTGTGAGCCATCTCTCGTTTTGCTCCTTTCTGAAGCTCTTGGCCTGCTGCTTTCTCTTTAGATTTCTGGTTCCCAATCATGCTGGCCACAAATATTCTTGGACTGAGCTTCTCAGAGTTTCAGTAGAAGAAATTTTGAGCCCCTATGTTTCAGAACCATTGTACTAGTTGGAGAGACAGTCAATCTTACTCTCATAGAACTACCAGACGGGTTTTTTTTCTTCCTCCAACTAGAACTTTCTTTTCTGAAGCCTTAAATATTTTTGCCTGGAGAAATTATATTTGTTCTCAATATGCATCTGAACGGCTTTTCTGCTAAAATTGATGATGTCTTCTGTGCCGTCAAGTCAGAACTAACCTATAGTGATCCTAACAAGGCTTTCAAGTAAGTAAGATATTTAAAGAGTGTTTTTACTCTGCCATTAAGTTGTCATGGCTGAGCAGGGATTTGAACCCTCTTTTCCATAGTTCTAGTCCATCACTCTATCCACTGCACCATTATTATTATGTTTTCTTGATTTTTTCTGAACTTCCATAAATTGTTTTAAAACAATTTTGGATTTTTTGCCTACAGAAGGTTCTTTACTGCATCATCCACAAACCCTGAAATTGCCATTGAAGTTATTAATTCCATTTTATTCCTTGATAAGCTACGTTAAAGGTTAATGTTTAATATCAATTTTCTTAAGTTGCATTTTCTGTTTATTATATCATTATTACTTTATATATCCAGTTTTCATATTTTGTCTATTTTGCCACTACCTTTTTTAAAAAAATAGTCACATTATAACAGCTCCGAATGCTATGCTTTAACCACTATTTAACCATTATTATTGCTGTTATTGTAATGCAATATAGTCTGGGTTTTCACAATTTTTATGAATTGTTCAGCATCAATGCATTTCAGATTGGTTTTATTTGTGGTGAGGTTCTGGCTTCTCCATTTGTTTGTTAGAGCAAACCAGTGACGCCAGAGAATCCTTTTTGTTCTAAGAAATGAAGTCCCAAACATCTAGAGGCCTCACAGTTCCCTCATCCTTGCCTCACTTTGCAACGTGCAGTGATTTCTGTGACCACAACAGTACTTCTTGGTAACCCGTATGGTCTGTCGAAACTGTTTCGGGGTGTGTTTGTGCACTTCTGGATACATAGCTTTAAAAAAATCATTGCAATTGAATACACAAGAAGAGCTTCTTGAAGAAAAGCATGGCAAGGGCTTAAAAAAAGAACCAAGACATTTTCAAGCTGCCCTGTATTTTTAACAGGCACTAAGTTACAGATTTCTAATCTGATTGGTTTTGGGTACCATGAAATAATGAAATATTTCACTGGAAAAATTCATGGGAGCGAGGCATGTGCACTGTCTTCAGACAAAGTGCAAACAAAGCAGGAGTATCTATATACTTCCAAGGTGACCACAGGGTGGAGCAAAGAGCAACGGGACACCCATGAAGTGGAACAACACCTCCATAGGTCCCTCATGTTAGATCCAGCATTCATTCAGAGTGGGGAAATAAAAATAAAAATAAAGGAAGATATAGGAGAATATGCTTTTTATCTCAGAAAAAAATCCTTCTTTGACTTTTCTGAATGAAAGTCATTGATTACACTGACTTTCTGGTGGCTGCCTTTAATGCCAATTGGGACTTTTTCCCCAGCCACCACTAAAACAGAGTGCCCTGCTCCATAGACTGAAGCTGGTGGTGTCCCTCTGTCCTCTCGGCATGATTCCATCGACAATCTGGCCTTGCTGTCTGTAGACTGAAGCTGGTGCCCCTCTGTCCTCTCAGCACGATTCCATCGACAATCTGGCCTTGCTGTCTCTATTTCCCCATTTGCTGGAGAAGCAGAAAGATACAAATATTGTCATGAACTGGTTTTGAATGCCACAAAAAGGGCAGAAGGTGATTCAGTTCTGACCCGTGTGCCTTTCATTTAGACACAGAAAGGGTCAGAGACATCTGTTCCACATCCCTAAGAGGGACTTTTATAGACAGTGATTCGAACTTACTGAGGTAACTCGCAGATCAGGAGTGCCACCTGCTGGGCAAACAAAACGTCTCCTCATTTAAAGCTGTAAATGTCCTTTTGTTTCCTGTTCCATGAAATGCCAGCTGGTTGACTCTGGGAGCTGTACCAGAAAGGGTCAGAGACAACTGTTCCACATCCCTAAGAGGTACTTTTACAGGCAGTGATTAGAACTTACTGAGGTAGCTCGCAGATCAGGAGTGCCACCTGCTGGGCAAACAAAACGTCTCCTCATTTAAAGCTGTAAATGTCCTTTTGTTTCCTGTTCCATGAAATGCCAGCTGGTTGACTCTGGGAGCTGTACTTCATAAAAGTAACTTTGAAAAAGTAACGTTTTCATGCTTTGACAATCCTTTGTCCTCTTGGTCAGTAAAAGGAGTGTCATATTCCAATCACCAAAAACCCTCCCCAACTGAGAATCAGAATCAGATAAAGTCACTCCACAGGCATGTTGCAATGCTCTTGTTTTTATTGACTATAAAATTCAGGAGATCATTGACAAACAGTTATAGTCTCTGCATGTTTTCCTCAGCGATGCCTCAACAGTCCACATTGGAGTTCTCCAGGTGGCATAGTGTATCTCTCAGCAATCGCCATGATTCTTAATTCTGGTGTGTACTCCCATATTCCTGAAGGAGGACAGAAAACATTCTGAATAAAAATGAGCAAACCACTGAGTCTCATACTCTCCCATGTTATTGTTTGAAATCTCAAGTTCTTCACATTCCCAAAGAAATTTGTGATTTGTGATAGGTTTCTATCAAAAGGTGCCAAACTCAAACATTTTTACTGAACCAGTCTAAAACATCAAGTTATTTCAAATACAGAAAGGGTCCTGTTGTACCAGCCTGCCATGCAGCTGTTAAGGATGAGAAGTCTGCCCAAAAATGAAAACCTAAAGCAGTTCTGAATATACAGGTGTTTATACTCAGATTTTAAGAACTCGGCACCTGAAGCCTTCTGCTTGGATAAGCAGATCTGTGTCCTTTCTTGTGCATTTCCCCCCCCTTTAAAATATGTTATTTCCAATGATTTGATGAAGTATGAATATTTGAAAAAACCTTGGAATGAAATCAAAATATCTCATTTCTCCCCAGCACTGAATGTCCTCTCTGGGCTAAAGTTCAGGAGGCTTGCAAATGATGCCTCGTGGGAACTTGAGCATATGAATTTCTGAGCTTCCAGGGGAAAGCTTTTTGAGATTATCTGTCAATGATTGACTTCATTGCTGTTGTAAACCAACACACCTGCTAGTATTGGAGCACCCACAATTAAAAGCAGATGGAAGTTTAAAACCTTTCTTGGTCAGGATTACATTGGCCGAGCTTTCAGTGGAAGTCACCTGTTCTGAGTTAGTTTAGCCAAAGGTATCCAGGTGTTCCTTGAACTGGATGTTCTAGACCTAGTACAGTGGAAAACCCCTAGTCATTGTTTATCTATTAGATATATTTAAAATGTGTCACTGGGTGCTTGTGGCAATGTAGAAAACTTGGATGAAAACAAGGGGGAGGGGAGACAACATACCAGCCAGAATTCTATTGCTGAGTTGTGTTTGCATAAGGAAAATCACGGAAGTCTTGGTGTCAGGTGGCTGCTCATTATTAAGGAATTGGTTGTAGAGTTGGGCACGAATCACCAGTTTGGCAGTTCATGCTGGTTTGTTTAGCATCTGAACAGATGTTTGGTACTTCAGATGCTGCCTCCAAGTGGGCGCCTGCTGAGGGAGGTAGGGCTTTGCAGTGCCAAACGCCTGTTCAGCCACTAGACGAACCAACACGAAGGCCAAACCGGCAGTTGTTCATGCCCATCTCTAATTGGTTGCACCCCCAGGCATGTGACTGGGCATGCAATTGAGCAAGAGCCCAGGCGTGCAACCAGTACCTTGTTAATGAGCAGCTGTTTGACACCAAGACTTACACAATTCCTTTTACAAAAGCAAAAAAATCAGTAATGGGATACTGGACAATACAACAATAAATTAAAAACAGGAGCCAGAGTGCCTGTCACAATAAAACCAGAGAATGGCATTTGAAACCATTGAAATTTTCCTGGTAAAATCTTCACTGCCAATCTCAAGTGTAACCAACAGAGAGGTAGTCTTGCCTCTTTTTCCCTATTTGGAGATCTGTTGCAGAAGAGCCCCTGTCCTCAGTCATACAGTATGTGCCCATTTTATGTTGAGAGTTCAATAGGCAAAGTTATGTGAACACCTGATGCACAGACTAACTGCTTCTAAGTCTCTGAATGTGACCCTATCATGTGTATCAAGCTTGCAAAAGGGATGGCCAGACAACAACAACAACCACAGCAACAGCAACAGCAACAGCAACAGCAACAGCAACAGCAACAGCAACAGCAACAGCAACAGCAACAGCAACAGCAACAGCAACAGCAACAGCAACAGCAACAGCAACAGCAACAGCAACAGCAACAGCAACAGCAACAGCAACAGCAACAGCAACAGCAACAGCAACAGCAACAGCAACAGCAACAGCAACAGCAACAGCAACAGCAACAGCAACAGCAACAGCAACAGCAACAGCAACAGCAACAGCAACAGCAACAGCAACAGCAACAGCAACAGCAACAGCAACAGCAACAGCAACAGCAACAGCAACAGCAACAGCAACAGCAACAGCAACAGCAACAGCAACAGCAACAGCAACAGCAACAGCAACAGCAACAGCAACAGCAACAGCAACAGCAACAGCAACAGCAACAGCAACAGCAACAGCAACAGCAACAGCAACAGCAACAGCAACAGCAACAGCAACAGCAACAGCAACAGCAACAACAACAACAACAACAACAACAACAACAACAACAACAACAACAACAGAAATGATCTGAGAGGAGCTGGAAGGTCAGTGGAGAAATCTTTAAAATGTTGAAGAGAAATACCAGGTCTGATCCTGAGGAACTTTTTCATCAATGGATGAAGTTCTTTTGAAAGAGCCTGGGATTTAGCACTTGGTTATGAAAGAAGACTGTAGACAAGAAATCAGAGGAAGACTGAGACTCCAAAGAGCAGTAATGAATGAATTAGAGAAGATAATCAAATGCAAGGATGTGCCCCTGGAGACCAAGGCCAAGATCATCCACACTCTTGTATTTCTGACCACCATTTATGGATTTGAGAGTTAGACAGTAAAGAAAGCGGAGAGGGAAATATACGGTTTGTTTTAAAATATGTTACTGGAGGAGGATACCCTGGATTGCCAGAAAGATGAAAAAGAAGGTATTAAAACAAATCAAGCCTGAAGATCTCTGGAGGCAAAAGTGATGAAACAGAGGCTGTCCTACTTGGGGCACATCATGAGAAGGCAGGATTCTTTGGAAAAGACAATAATGCTGGAAAAGGTTGAAGGCAGCAGGAAAAGAGGAAGACCAAATACGGGATGGATTGTGCTTACAGGAGCTGAGCAGGGCTGTTAATGGCAGGACATTTTGGAGACCGCTCATGCATAGGGTCACCATAAGTGGGAGGCAAATTGACAGTACACAACAATGACAACGAAAGGGGGCAAGTCATTTCCCACATTGTTTGCGTGGTCTCACAAATCACGAAGATCACCATTGATTTGGGAGTACAAGACGATGAGCTACAGAGGAAATTGTGTCCCTTCTTCCACATGGTATTCAGATTTTAGGATTAGCAGCTCTTATTCCTTGCCAGTTACACACTGAGTTGTCACATAGTTACTGTGACCAATTGAAAAGTTGCTATCCTGCCCGCAGGTTTCTATTCTGGTGCCATGATTGCTTTCTTAAAAAAAAAACTTAGAAACTGTAATGCATGATGGAAGACACACACAGACATTGATAGACAGATATTTAGCAGCCAATGGCTACACTTCTTTATTAGTCTGAAGAAGTAGCCATGTCCACGAAATCTCACATTACAGTACAGCAATTAGTCTTTAAGGTGCCCAAAAGTTTTTGTCACCTTCATTTTTTAATTGTTGCCTGTGTGCTATCTCTTCTAAAACTTAGGAATGGAAGAATATTCTGACAAGGAAAACACATTATATATGTTAACTTTTAATTTAAATTATTTCATTTTGGACCGTAAAAAAGAACCTCTACAGCTATTTTTAAACAAATAAAACATTTATGTTTGCTTTACACAATAGCCCTTGATTCTTCTATGATGCGGAAGCCAGATATGATGCATTACTCAAACCAAAGCATAACAACATTCCCTTTTCCTGGGGCATTTTAATGCACCTGGAACTTTTATTGACCAGCTGGCTGAAACCAGGTGAGGCTTTTATGGAGCCATAGCATTACTTCCTTCAAAGAAATGTTGGCAGCTCCCTCTGTTTTAAGGCCCAATCACTTCTTCCAAGAGAAAAATCTGTTGAGGATGATGTCTTTTGACTGGTAGTACTTGGAAGCTAGGGATGGCCTTGTTCACAAGCTATATACTCTAGCAAATCCTTTCCATTGCTTGAAAATGTTACTTTATTAGACGATCAGTACCCATCGTGGCTGGAGGATTTTTGGCGTTGCAGTCTGGAAAATAACTTCTCTGCACTGTGAACTCCTTCACTTGAAAGAGGACAGAATGTAGTTGATGGGATCAGGGAACTACAAAGCTCTTTTGCATTAAAATTGGATGATACATTTAGTCTTTTTTTTTAAAGAAGAAGAAGGGAGAGACTGTCTTAGCACATGCTTTTCCTCAACTACATACTTCATTGTAAGGATGGCATTAGAGCAGCTGCCCCCAAAGCATTAAAATCTCCCTTTCTCCAAAGGAGACTTCTAATGACTTAAAGACTTAGGCTGTATCTATCCTCAGGCAAAATTGACCCATTCAATACAGAGGGGTGTGGGGCCAGACAGTAGAGCACTATGCCTGTTGCCTATGCGCTCTCTCTCTCTCTCTTTCTCTCTCTCTGGCTTGGTACATCTGCCTGTCTTTTGTATTTTATATAAGCCCTCAGTTCCTCAAAATTATTTTTAAAAGGGGACAATTGCCTAGAGATCTTTCTCCGGGTGTTGTTAGACAAGGGAAAAAAATAAAGCAATGATTTCATCAAAATAAACTCTGTGTATGTTACATTACCTGCTATCAAGTCAGAATTGATTTGTAGAGACCCTAAAAGGTTTACAGGGGAAGTGAGGTGTTTAAAGAGTGGTTTTACCACTGCCATCCCATCCAGTGAATTTCCATGGCTGAGCAGAAATTTTGAACCCAAGTCTCCTGAGTCCTCAGCTGTCACCCTAACTACTATGCCACACTAGGCACCTCAGATGAACTCTGCCTTGTAAACCTATGCTAAGAGTTTTACCACTGCCATCCCATCCCAGTGAATTTCCATGGCTGAACAGAAATTTTGAACCCAAGTCTCCCGAGTCCTCAGCTGTCACCCTGACTATTCTACCACACTAGGCACCTCAAATGAACTCTGCCTTGTAAACCTATGCTAAGAATAAAGAACCTCTTTAGCTCACAACTTTTTACCTTTAGAGGACAGGCAATGCTTTCACTTTGTGAAATCCTTTTACATAGTGTTTGAGTTGCAGAATTTACATCAGGTGTCGAGTTTTGGCTTGTTTTATAGTTGTGCGTTTCTGCTGACTTTTGTTGTTGTTTAAGTAAATTGAGTTCATATTATATTGTGTTTTGACATTCAGAAGGATGATAAGTGGTCCTGATCCGACCAGATAGGCGGGATATAAAAAAATAATAATAATAACATGGTTGGATCTTAAGATCTATAAACTGACCATTAAAATAAAAATAATACTCTTGAGCAGCCTCATCAAATCGATCTTAAGATCTATAAAATGAATAAAATAAAAATAATACTCTTGAGCAGCCTCATCAAATCTCATGAATATCAATGCTGTCTTCTAATCCTATCACTTTCAGTCACCTCTAGATGCTGTTGATGATGACACTTTCACCCAGTCTTGTACTTCTGTCTGATATTTCCCCACAAACGCTTCACTGTGATCTCAGGCTCACTCTTTCCAATGCTTAGCCCCTCTCCATGTCCAGATTTCAAAAGTTGGTGTTTGGAGCCATTAAAGCAGTGAGACCCCCTGTGAGCTATTTAAAAGTTAAAATGCTATTCCTGAAAGAGCCCAAGATCTACAAATCGCTTTTTTTGGGGGGGGGGCTGGAAAAAGAAGGGATTAAGGGAAGATTAGGGGCCACTCAGACAACTGTGGGACCTACCTCTTCCCACCCTTGGCCTGAAAAAATACTGCTTTTAACCAGTTCTCACCATCTGCTTGGGGAATGTGAACTGCTGGTGGAACACATTCCCCTTCCACTTGCTTCCTTCATAGTCATAGTCTGTTTCAGGGCATGAAGGAGGAAGAGAGGAAGAGGAATCCATTCCCCATTCTATGGAAGTCTGTCCACATGAAGTTAGAATCCAACAGTCAGACAGAAACCAACCTTTTTTAAAGGGTTTTTGTCTCTGAACACTGGATGATGTGATTGTACATACAGCAGGACTCCCATATTTGTGGGATCAGTATCCGCTGATTCCCTTATCCACTGTCTGAAAATGTTAAAATTATTGAAAGAAAATTTCACAAAAATATATATTTCTAATGATGAAGTTACCAGAAATGGCCATTAGAGATTATAGTGTTCGCTATTATCCATGTTTTTCAGCATGGGAGGGAGGAGGTTTGGAACTGATCCCCTGTGGATATGGGGGCCTTACTGTATATCCTTGCAGAAGTTTATGTCACACTTAGGCCACCAATAACTTACTCTCAGTACGTTCCTTGTGACATCAGCTAGTCACAAATGTTTAGCTTGCTTGCAATGTGAATTGGCTTGTTCTGGAAAATGCAAAAGACCTCTTAGCTATCCTTCTCCTATGGGACCAACAAAAGAAACGGAACTTTTCTCCACCAAGAATGAAGCAGGAAGCTAAGAAGATGGTCAGCAAACCTCCTATTTGACATTAAAGGGCAGAAGACAAATACTTACCGATTCTCCAGACACAAGATACACTCATTGGGATAGGTCACATCATCAGTGCCACAGATGGGGTCAAGTATTTTAGGGCAGCCTGGTAAGTTATACTGCTCACAAGATGGCTGTAAAATAAAAGCCATATGATTAAGCTTTGGAGAATACTGTACCATCATTTCTTTAAATTGTGAGCAGAGTTTCTTAATGGAGGTTGATATTTGAGAAGGTGGGCAGACCTGGCCTTACAAGGAAGCACAGCAAGTTGAGCATTAGGTGAACCTAATGGAAACAGTATACATGGTGGCCTACCAACCAAAGCATTGATCTCTTTATTTAGCATAGTCTTAGGTCCTTTTATGCTGAAGCTTTCCCAGTGTCATGGGCATCACTTTCCTCAGTGTAGTAACCTTGACTAATTTCAGTGTGTTTATACACTCCATATGCTGGGAAATGGTATGGGTATTTGACAGGGAGATGGTGCACCATGATGTAACAGAGCGAGGCTTTACAGGGCCCAAGTCCTGTGATTTTTTTTATTAGCGGAAATGATGCTGGCTTCTGAACTTAGCTGATGCCCTCATAGCATCAATGTATTGGTGGATGATCTCAGCAATGACATGTTGCTGCAATCCGTTCTACTTGTAAAGCAGAGTATTCTATGAGAACTTTGTTTTATTAGGCCATAAAAACCTGTTGGGTTTACAAACTTCCTGCTCCTCATAGATATGAAAGCTGTGGCTGGTTCGCTAGATCCGGACAGCTGCCTTCATTTTTGGACATTTCTTGGGAATGTGGCTAAATTTACCACCCCACAGTTTACCACTTCACCCGTGATTGCATTGGTAATGATATTAGAACATGTCAAAAGTTGTAAACTGTATACTTGGTTTACAGGTAGGAGAATATGGAACTGTATGATTTCAACATAGTCCTCTACAAGGTCGGACCAAAATTCCAGATGCATTTGCATTGGATTTAAGTTCAGCATGTGGTACATTGCAATATACAGTGGTGCCTCGCATTACAAGCGCTCCGTTTGATGAAATCGCTTTACGTTGAAGGTTTTGCGATCGCAAAACGATGTTTCCTGTGGGGGAATTTCGTTTTGCAATGATCGGTTCCCTGCTTCGGGAATCGATCATCGCAAAGTGATGATTTTAAAACAGCTGATCGGTGGTTTCAAAATGGCTACCGGGTAAAAAGCATGTCTCCCCGCTGTGTTTTCGCACGGATTCCTCGCTGCACAGGCAGCAAAAATGGCCGCGCTATGGAGGATCTTCGCTGGACAGTGAGTTTCAAGCCCCCAGGAACACATTAATCGGGTTTTAATGCGTTTCTATGGGCTTTTAAAAATCGCATTACAACGTTTTCGTTCTACAGCGAATTTGCTGGAACGAATTAATGTCATAATGCGAGGCACCACTGTAGTGCTTTTTTCTATGTGACAATATAACTGGGTTGTTGTAAAATTTTTGGGCTGTTTGGCCAATGTCAAAACGTGGCGTCATTCCTGCCTGTCCATCACAGAAGCTCAAAGGGGAGGACCCAAGGATAGGGCAGATAGGGCAGGAGAGGCGGAGTTAGAAGGACAGTTGGAGATGTGGAATGGCAGTTAGGGTTTAGGAGAGAGAAGGAGAATGTTAGTGAATTGAGCTGAGAGTGTTAGGAGAGGGAATTCAGAAGGTTAAACAATATTGAATAAGCAGGAATGAAGTTACAAGTACTATAAGAGAGATATTGATTAAAAGTACATAGTAGTTCGGAATAAAAGCGATTGCATACATAATCCAATCCTTGTTAATACCTGATACAGTTCATACGTGATTTACCTTTATGATTTACTTGACAATAAAAGAATATTTGTTAATTAAATCTCTGATTCCTCAATTCAATAACCCTTAGTTTTGGCAGCATACGTAAGTGGTATTAGGAAAATACCTGGTGGCAGCTAGAAGAGAACAAGGGCGTGATCCTTTGTGAGGGCCAAATAAACAGGGGCAACAAGGTCGATCACCACAGCCATGTTCAGAACATGGCCAAACAGCCCGAAAAACCTACAACAACCGTCTGATCCCGGTCTTGAAAGCCTTCGAGAATAGGCCAGAGAATAACTGGCCTTTCCCTAAATTGGCAGGGTATTATTTCACCAAAGGGAAAGATATTGTATTTGCATAATCAAAACATGTTACCTCTATCCCTTCATTGGCATCACCACCGTCTTCTGCGTTGCCTAAAACAAACAAAAAGCATGAGGACCCAATTAGCAATCCTTTCTATTTAGTAGTCTACAGCAGGGATTGGAATGTGTGGTCTCCCACATACGGATGGACTGCACCTCCCATCATCCCTCATCATTGGCTCTGCTGGCTAGGGCTGACCGGGGGGGGGCAGAATCCTATGATGTCTAGAGAGTCCATCTATGGCCTTAGCTGGTTTTACCTTAACTTTCTAGTAGTTACTGTGTTTATAGTTAATCACATAGCAACAACACTTTAGCCTTGACCAGGATCAATGCTGAGACCCAGCTGGAAGAAGTATGGTGGTTAATTCCTGGCTGTTCTCCCTTTCCTTTGCATTGCCTAGTGCCACTTTGTACAATGTTCTGGTCAGTAAAGCAAGCTTCCAGGGTAGCTTTTCAAGGGCTATCAGGGAGAAGTCACCTTCTTCAATATCTGCCAGCAGGAAACTCCTGCAAATGGAGTTACACTTAGAGGACCCAACACATATATGGTGGGAAGAAGCAGCTGTTCTGTCTTTTGCTGCGTTTACCCCCGACACCATGATATTCAAGTAGTCTTTTTTTTCCTTTTGACATAATCAGTTTAGACGTAGACTGATAGTAGTTAGGATCCATTTGGGTGTTTTTCTCATTTTATGTGTTAAAAAAGAGATGGCAAACATGAGGTTCTCTGGATGTTAGGCTGTGACTTATAGCAGCCTTCCTTTGGGCTACTTCAACTAAAAACAATGTCAGTTACAGTCCAACAATTTCTGGAAGACCACACATGCCTTGAATTAGGATACGGGTTTAATGCTTTGACAGGTGCTTTTCCTTTTTAACGGAAATGGGCAAAGAAGCTCTCAGAGTGAGGAAACTGCAAGTTGCTTTCAAACTGACCTCTTCTTTGTAGAAAGAAAGAATTTCCCTAATTGTATGAGGCAGTTGCTAATCTGTTTAGTGTTCAGGCGTATCTTTTCAGTCCCAAAATGATATGATCCAACATTAATATGTAACCAGCACTCCGGAGCTGCTCTGAAAGCCAGTCTCACTTCTACATCTGTCTCTTTCCTAGCTTTCACCAAAGTTTCACACAGGTCCTTTTCTACTTTCTATTTTCATTTCTTCACCCATAGAATTATGCCATTCACATTTGCAGTGTATCTCCCTGACCTGGAGAAAAGATTCCTTCCTGGTCAGCCACCTGTTTTTCTGTTCTCTGTTTTGTGCAAGACTGAACTAACTCCGGGAATAAAAGTTAACAATGATTTTTATATCATCCTTACCTGAGGAACAGAAGATCCCCACCGCAACCAGAAGGAATATGCTAGTTATTTTCATTGCAGCTTAGTTATGGATTTCAAAGAATGAACCTCACTGGAAAGTTGTGTCTCCAGATCCCTGAATGGGATTGTTTTTATATGATCAGCATGAGTCTCTGGCACCACAGACTCCTCCCTCTTTCTGATGCCACCACATGTGATGAAGGCTTCAAACAAATAGAGAGTAAGAGGTGAGTGGCGGAGGAGACGATGCATTATAAATAAACAGCGAGGCATTCTCAGCAAAGGACTGAAGATTTGTATTGTGAAAGAACTAGACTCCAATATTTTTAACCTTTAGTAAAATTCCAGAACACATGAAGAAGCATACACAGTACTGTATTTGAATGCCACAGTAAGCAATTAAATTCTTAAAAAAACAAAGAAAGAAACAAGTAGCCTTCATATTTGAATGCCACAGTAAGCAATTAGATTCTTAAAAAACAAAGAAAGAAACAAGTAGCCTTCTGGTTTATCTGTACTTCTGGATATTGTGCTTCTGTATCCATTCACAGTATTTGAAATGGATATTGTGCTTCTGTATCCATTCACAATTGTTGAAAAACAGGCTGGAACAGCTGCTTTATGTTTGGGTGTGAAGTAGTTAACTGATTAAAAAAGAAAAAAAGAGTTCACTTCTGGGATTTTCCCCTGATGGTGTCTCTTTGTTAATGGTTGTGAGCACAAGAGAGTATCCTGCAGACCTTATATACTGAGAACCTCATGTTTGCTATCTGTTTCTTAACACACAAAAAGAGAAAAACTCCTTGTCTTGCTGCTTCCTCCTGCTCTGCTGCCATTGCTGTCTCCATCGCCGCTGCCAGAATGAAAGCTAGGTTGCCAGAATGGTAGTCTCCGTACCACCAGGCTAGCTTCCGTTCCATTGCAAACAGCAGGGGCGGGGGATTCGGTAGTCTCCGTTCCACCAGGCTAGCTTCCATTCCATTGCAAACAGCAGGGGCGGGGGATTCCCTTCAGTCAGACTTCCTTTCTTTGCCTGCACAGATCAAGCTGATCTGTGAGGGCATAAGCAGAGAGAGAAATGGACAATATAGAAGGTGTATATTTCTCTCTTAATATTTGTGGGGTCTTCAGATCTCATGAATAGGAAGGGATGAATATCTGACGAATCAGTGATATTTAACAAATATTGTGATTCATTTTTATGTTCATCCCCATGTCTAGTTACAAATATGGAATCATAGAATAATGGAACTGAAAGGGGCCTATAAGGCCATCAAGTCCAACTCCCTGTTCAGTGCAGGAGTCCAGATAAAAGCAGATCTGGCAAATGATTGCCCAATTTCCTCTTGAATGCTTCCAGTGTTTGAACACTCACCACCTTCTGGGGTAATTGGTTCCATTGTCGTACTACTCTAACAGCTAGGACATTTTTTCCTGATATTCAGCCTAAATCTGGCTTCCTGTTATCTTGAGGCCATTATTACATGTCTTGCACTCTGGGATGATCTAGAACAGATCCTGACCCTCCTTTGTATGACAATCCTTCAAGTATTTGAAGAGTGCTCCCCTTAATCTTCTTATCTCAAGGCTAAATAAGCCCAGGTCTTTCAGTCTTTCCACATAAGTTTTGGTTTCCTGTCCTCTGATAATCCTTCTTGCCCTGCTGCGAACTTGTTCCAATTTGTTGGCATTCTTCTTAAAGCACTGTACAGTATCATGATGAGGCCTCACCTGTGCCAAATAAAGAAAGCTGACCTCCGAAGAATTGATGCTTTTGAATTGTGGTGTTGGAGGAGGCTCTCGAGAGTCCCCTGGACTGCAAGGAGAACTAACCGATCAATTCTAAAGGAAATCAACACGAACTGCTCACTGGAAGGACAGATCCTGAAGTTGATGCTCCAATACTTTGGCCATCTCATGAGAAGAGAAGACTCCCTGGAAAAGACCCTGATGTTGGGAAAGTGTGAAGGTAAGAAGAGAAGTGGATGACAGAGAATGAGATGGCTGGACAGTGTCATGGAAGCCACCAACATGAATTTAACCCAACTCTGGGAGGCAGTGGAAGAAAGGAGGGCCTGGCGTACTCTGGTCCATGGGGTCATGACTAAATGACTAAACAACAGTACTTCTCAGGATTTGAAGACTACATTTCTGTTAATGCATCCTAAAACAAGATTTGCCTTTTTGCAGGAACATCACACTGTTTGCTCATATTCAGCTTGTGAACTTCAACAAAGTATAGATTTCTGTTGCCTATTTCTTAATTGAGGGAGTTGTTGCATTTAGAAAATCATAAATTGAAAAATTCTTTGTCCATATGTCCCCCAATCTGGCTCTGAGGAAGAGCCAACTGTTTGCTATACAGTATCTGTGCCAAATTTGGTGCTGGTGTGTAGGCTAGTTTCAAAGTTATAATTTTTGTTTGGCCTGTCCCCTTTTTTAGAATTGTCTTGTAGAACATTGTTTTGCTTTGCTGCACAGTATCATTGCTGCACTCACATACACTTGCAGTTCACAGTAACCAATGATTTTTAATGAGGTTTAAAATACTGAGCCATGATTAACCATACATTGTGATTGGGGGAGGGAGAAGACTAGGTGTTCCCTGCTATGTATTATTTTTAACATTTGTTCATCAGTTGATGACCACAACTTCTGGCCAGCTCATCTGACACCTGCATGTCTCCTTAAATAAAAACTGAGGGAAGTAAGATGCAGGCGTAAGACAAGGAGAATATAATAATTTAATTTGGAGAAGCCTAGTACAGTTGTGCAACAAAATAGGTGTGACCTCTTGCAGCCATCCAATAATGAAGCATCCTGTGTAAATAAAAATAAAGTGTCATATATTCGTCATATCTGGAAAAAGTCCTTGATTTATTTCCCTATGTGTATTTTACACCTCTTTAGCAAGCGACACACCTGCAAGGTAAATACATTCTAAGACACCCTAGTTTTACTTTATTATCTCTTTCCCACATTTGCCATCTGTCTTTGCAATCAGCCAGTAAAATTGGTCCTCCGACAAGGGACATGGCAAGCATCTCTTAGGGAACTTAGAGACAAGTGTGCCCCTTTGATATACATGCAAGGCTGACAAGTCAGGAGATTGTGATGGCCAATTCTGCACCTAAGAAATGATATACAAGTGAGCAGAGGCACAGCACCTGTGATCAAGAGCAAACCAGAAACTAGCCTATTCAGATTGCTTGTAATGCTAAGGGCTGGAATCCATGGCTGAGACTTCTGAGACTCTTGGCCACAGGAGTAGGGCCATATCTGATCTAGTGAAGTCTTTTGACTCTATCCTCCATTCTCTCTTTTTTCTCTTGATGTCACAGCAGGTTGGATTTTGATTTAAATCACAATTTAAATTGCAAAAATTGGACTTTTTTTACTCTTTAAATTTTAAAAAATAACTTTTTAATTTAAATTGTGTTTTAAATTAATTTGATTTTAAAAATTATTGATTTTTATCCACTTTGTGTCACAACCTGTTCTACTGCCCTTGCCTTGTGGATTTTTGGATTCCCTGGAAACACTGCAAGGTCTGAGAGTACTGGGGGTTGGGATGCACAAGGGTCAAGGCTGGTTCCATAGTCCTCACCATGACTCCCTCTCTGGAGTTCACCCAAGGTAGGATAAACAGGACAGTGTGGCTAAGTGGTTAGAGAAGGGCCCCCTGCACCTGAATAACCATCATAAGCCCATTTTACATCATGTGTCCCCCACATTGTTGGGAAAATTGGTAAAAAGGTTTAAATGTAAAGAATGATATGCTATTTTTTAAAAATTTATAGAATGTGTGACAGTATAATTTTATTTGGCTTTCTCTTTAGGCTGTAAGATGAGGTGAGCCCCCCCCCCCTGTGTGTGGAGACTCAGGCCAAATTGCACAGTTAGGCTTCCCTCTTGTAGGGCTTGCTCTCAAAACTCTTGTTCAGTTTTGTCTGGCTTGAGGCTGTGGGGGGTGCATTCTAGTTACAGATTTCTGGGCTAGAAAGACTGGTGATTTGGCGTGGTACTACACTTGATCTTAGCCAAAAAGCCGAGAAGCGATTTGGCGTGGTATGTCACAGCTTAGTATAAAAGAATGGAGGGAGCATAATAGAAGAGAAAATTGCTCTGAAAATTATGAGATGAAATGTTTCACATTCAAAAGCCTTGATAAATATCAAATATCTATTCATCTCAATACCTTTTTGCTCTAAAGAGTTGAAAATCCTGTTTTACCCAGCTGTGAAATATTGATTCATACAATATATGTATAATGCTTCAGATACGATAGGAGTGTAGTGGCTAGCTAATCTGCTAATTAGTATTTCAAACATCCTTTTATTTTTCCCCTTATGAATCCCTAGAGAAGTGTGGATCAAAGTGTTAGTAACAAGTACTTGTGAAGACAAGACAGTTTATTCTTAATTAGCTGAGCATTAATTCAGTTAGGGAAAGTTTCCTAGAAAGGCAGCACGCTCTTAAGCACTAGCTGCCAGCTGCCATGACTTATGGTGCAATCCTATACACGTCTATATTCAGAAGTGAGTTCCGTATGCTTCCACAAAGATTGATTTCAAAGATGCCTTGTGGGATTCTGCTAATTATAAATGCAAGAAAACATATAGACAGGAAGAAAAATTCAGAATATCACCCAAATCTGTTCTCCTTCCTGTGTACATATGAATGATCCTAAATGCCATTCAATGAGGAAATCATTCCTTCAAAAGGCCATAACATAACACGAAAACAAGAGCAATGATTCTATGATAGTTGAAATGATCGCATGTAACCTAAACAACCATCCCCATACAACCATTTGTGTATGTCAAACTGTTCTACTGATTTTATATAACGATGCAAATCAATCTGTGGATGCTAACCCTCAGGAGACAAATTTCTACCCAACATCCATGCTGAGTTCCCCTTCCTTTGAACAACTTAGGCCTTATGGCCACCATACATGGTCTCAACTAATACATCATCCCATCACATTCTCTGTTTTTAGTCAGGATATGAGTTTTCACCAGACTCACAAAGACTTCCACCTTCTCTAGAACTGGAGGACCTGCTGGCTTTGGATAGGAAGTGGTTAAATGATAGGGGAAAAAAAGAAGT